CAGAAAGTAAACTTTAAAAGTTGAAAGAGAAAAAGCCAAAGTATCATATTTCAAAGAATAATTAGAGGAATCAGATAAAAGAGAAACTGCCAGGAAGCTAATGATGCACTCCAGGACTGCAGCTGGCCAGGGTGTCTTTAGGCCTCTGGGGGCTTATTAGGCCTTAGTCACGTTATTTAAAAGGATTATGCTCATCCAGGTTAGGGACGTTCCATGGCCTTTCACCTATGTTTAATTAGTCAGCCTCTATACAGGAAAACAGCAGGTATCGTCTCTGTTTCATAGATTGTCCGGGGCTCTCAGGTTTCTTAGAATTTCTGTCAAACATTTTAAATAGATTTTAGCATCCAGATTCCAACATTAACCACTGTTATTAACATTATTTATGTCTAAACTTTAAATTTATATTTAAAAATATTTAGTTCAATTAATGTAAATTTATATTTAAAAATATTCAGTTCAATTATTATCAACTTAGTCTTCGAATGGCACTCAATCATGTTACAAGATCCACCGTTCTGACTTCTGCTTTCTCTTGGTCTCTTATTTTTCCTCATTTGAAAAACACCTACTCTCTGACCAAACAGTATTATTACTTGGAATCTGTAAGATAGTGTGTCTCACAGCACTTCATTTATCAGCATTTCCCGGAATGTGTCTAGTACTTAGGAAAGATGAACTGAGGACAAAAATGCATTTGAGAGGTACTAGGTTAAACAGAATTAACTAGGTTCCTTTATCAATGAAGGTGTACTGTAAACTTCCACATGGGTAATATTAGATGCAGTGTCTACCAAACACCTGATGAGGAAAAACTTTTATCTCATTTAATCCTTGCAACCAGCCTATTAGGTAGGTTTTTACCATTAGTTAGACAAACTCATCTACAAAAAAGTAAGTGGTGGGGTTGAACCCAGGATTATCAGTATTCTGAGTATACACACACACACACACACATTTAAGTGTGTATTTAAATCATTTATGATTTGGAAAATTTTTAACAGAATTATAGCATGCATAGAGAAGAGTGCTCATTTCACCAGTTTGCAGTTATGAATTTTCAGACTGACTGCTTCTGTGTACCTATCCTCGCTGAAGAAATAAGATATCTAGACGTGCCCTGTGTCCCATTCCAGTTACTACACACCTAGGTCACAGGTAACCACTTTTCTGACCTCTAACACACACACACAAACACACACACAGCAGTTTTACCTGGTCTTGAAGTTAAAAAATGAGAGTTTTCCAGTAGATAAACTTTGTGCTTGGCTTATTTCACTTAACATTGTATTTTTGACATTCATCCTTTTGGCTGCATGTAAAAAGTAGTTATGGTTTTATATATATTTATATTTGCACACGCACACATGTTTCACTGTCTGAATCCACTACACTTTATTCATTCATCCTACTCCTGACAGACATTGAGGCTGCTGCTGATCTGGGGCTACTGAGAATAATGCTATTAACCTTCCCATACAAGTCGTCTGGTGATCATATATACACATTTCTCTTGGCTATATACCTATGAAATGAAATTTTAGGATCATAGGTATGAATACAGTCAGTTTTAATATAGCTTTTAAGTTGGCTGAACTAATTCACATACTAGATACTGAAATGCTGCATGGTATCCGTGCTACTGATTTGAATTATTCTGGTGAGGGTGTTATAGCACATTGCTGCATTTTACCTTTAACTTTCTTAACAACCAATAAGGGTAAATTCCTTTTCATACGTTTAGTGACCATCTGTTTAGCCTCCTTTGTGAAGGAGCCTGATCAAGTCTTTAACCAGTTTTCTTTCCATTTTTAAACACTGAAATAAATCTTCATGAACAATTTTAACACGAATGTCTTAAACCATCTAACACAGTTGAAGCAAAATATTTTTACAATTTTGGAAAACAACAAAAATTAAAATTCAATTAGCTGATAATTGTGTGTAATAGCTACCTAGAAATAAGTCTTTAAAATGTGAATAGTTACACGAAAAATGTAGTAAGATTACTGTCTCATATACCTTACTGTACTAAATGTGCAGTGGTCATCAAGGATTAATGCCAAATTACAAAATTCCTTTATAAATATTCATAACATACTCACTTTGTCATTTTATTCCCTACCACTGAAAGAGATAAATTGCCTAATTATAGTTATTCTCAAAAACATAAATCCTAAATGGTAATTTCTCTTTAGACTATAGGTTAAAATACGAAGAAATTACCAAAGAAGGATAGTGCTAATTTTCAAGTTATATCTTGAAATTTAAGCACATCTATTACAAAGAAAGCCATTCACTATTCTAATGGGCAGTCACTGTTTAAAGTAACTCTGTACCATTTCATTTTATAATGCAAAGTTAATCTTCTGATTTTCTTCCAGTAATAGGGAAACACATTATGCAAATCAATTCATTAATACAAAACTTAAACCACAGTTTTCTTTTCCAGTGTATGTTGACATTATGCTTATAAAAAAAAGCAGGAAGGGGAGTTTTGCCAAAATGTATTACAATGCAAAACAAGCAAAAGAGCTGTATACTCATGGACAACATTCTCCTGCCCCTTTAACCTGACTTTAAGGCAGGTTAAAGGCATTGTCTACACTGCTTAGTCATTAGTATCTCACATCAATCTAAAATTGTATCCACATCCGTTAGGCCAAGAGTACACCCGCACAGTTGTTTTAATAGCAAGAAGCTCCCGTATTTCCAAGATTTTCATGATTTTTTTCCTTCAATCCTAATACCGCATTCAAAGATAAGAAAATATCTATTTTTCTAAGTCAATATAAGAGGGTGAAGAGTTTGGGACAAAATTCATCTTTTTAAATATCTTAGTTAAGATTTAAATATCTGGGCTTAAGTCTCATCTTTGATTAAGGTGCTGAAAAGCTAAAATAAAAACACTGACAGGTAGATGCAATTTTGAAGGAAAAGCTTTTTCCTTTTAAAAATACACAATTCTGTTTTCTTAATGTGTTCCTCTGGGCCATCAGAGTTACAGGGGTTTCAGCCAAAAACTCAACAGTAGAGGGAAAATTAAATTTTATTCCCCTACACAAGCTGAAACATTTCATAAGAATGTTGATTAATTTTTCACATCCTTTAACAAATCATACACAGTAATAAAAAGCAATGCATAATGTTTTTTATGTAAGGAATATTATTTTAGAAGAATATTAAAAAGGCACTAATACAAAATGTATAAGATTTCCTGAATTTACACTGTTAAGTATCATGAACACAACAGTGATCAAATCTTTGGGTCAGGCCCTTCTCTATGTAACAGGGACAAAAACCGATAAAAAAGCCACGTTATCAGGTGCTTATATCCTGCTGGGTTATGGCAAATGACAAACATAACACAAAATAAGTAAACTACAAAGCATGTTATATGTGGTATGGAGAAAAAAATGTAAAAAGGAAAGGAAGGTAGTGAACAGGGGTTGGAGAGAGGAGGATAAGAAAAGGACTCGACTTTTCAACAGGGTGGTTGGGAAGACCTTAAAATAAGAGGACGTTTTATTGCTTGATCGTTACTCCCAATTATTTTTTCCTGTAAAATAATTTCATTTTGAATATTAAAAACATTCAAATTACTCCTCTGAGCAGTGAGAGATTTCAAAAGTACGTAGTACACATGGCAAAAACCATGTCTGATTTACTATAGCAGCTGATTGGCCAGTCTAACTTTGACTCCATATCCTTGACTTCTAGAAATCTGAAAACGTTCACAAAAATAGGAGACCAAACTGATTATTCTGTTGTATCAATGACTGTAACTCTCGTAATTTGCAACCAGTCCTTTATACCCGATTAGGCCGCCAAGGAACATGCAATAAATAAAGTAAATTATATCCCTCTATTACAGCTCCACAAAGAAGTTCAAAGAGAGAGACAGACAATTTAGGAAGAAGCAGCAAATAACTTGTTAGCTTTCTTTAACATTAAAGATATTTGAAGCACTGTTAGGCAATGAAGAATAAATCTCATGAGCTTCCATTATTATATATTTATACTTAGAGAGAATTTATAACATTTGCCATAAAATTTTATTCCACTCAGAACCAAAATTTCAGAAATTAAGAATTTATTACTATTATAGGTGTGATTGTCACATTGTGGTTATGATTTTTAAAGAAGACCTTATCTTTGAGAGAGACGTAGTGAAATATTTATGTATGAAATGATATTGCGCAGTTATTTCAAAAGAATCCAGCAGCAGGTAAGGAGAACTGTGGGTGGGAGAACAGACCAGACGGGACTGGCGATGAACTGGTAACTGATTAAGTTTGGTGATGAGTACGTGAGGGGTGTCCTTATATTCTTCCTCAAAATCTGTATATTTTCCAAAAGAAAAAGCTAGGGAAGAAGGCACATTTGAAAGTTGTTAATCTTCACCAACCTAATACCAGCCTCAAAAACAGTGTTTTGTGAAGCTGATCTATTACAGCACTTCCCACCCATCAAAGGGAAAGGGAAGGAGACAAAATGAGCTGCGTCCGTTCTGCAGACGTTCCTGATGTGACCTGTGCTACTGATCCAACTGCGCACCAACTTCACTTTTAATTTTGTGGCACACAGTTCCTGACATCCTAATACAATGACTGCCAGGGTTCCTAACGATGTTTCTATTAATCTCTTCTGAGCTAAATTACATTTGCCACGATGGGACACTGGCTACAAACTGTTCTATTTCCTTTTTTGGCATTATATATTACTGCCATAGTAGTATAGGAAGTTGAAAAAATAATTTATGTGTCTATGTTCGATATGGTATAGTTCACTGATTTTTTTTAAAACATCTACATTCAAGCAGTCCTCAACTTAAAAAAAAACATATATATGTGTGTATGTATGTATATGGTAGAGATAGTCAATGCAAAGAGAAAGAACATAGATTTACAAATAGAATCCTTTCTTACTAAACATAATTTCTGATCCCTATGTAAATAGGATTAAAGTTCAGAGTACTGATGCTTAGAACATGTACTTACCACTTGTCCATTGTGCGGGTTTTTATGAGCATACGGAGGTCCACGGATGTGATTCCACATCTGGCCAGAAGTCATAGCAAAGACTATACACTGCAAAAAACAGGGTATGATGTTATAACACGTAAACCAAAAAATACAATGCTGCATTAAAAAAGGTCATGAAACTACTTTCTAAAAACTGATGTCTCAGCTCATCCATTAAAATAATTTTCATTTACTACGGGATCTTGGATAAATTAGTTATTCCAGCTTCTCAGATTTGATATCTATATAATAGGGATACCAGCTATGCTGAAGACATAAGTTGATGATTAAACTGAATAACATATGTAAAGCACCGGGCATGGTGGCAGTCTGATATGTCCTAACCAAACCTAGTCAAAAGCACAGGTAAGACAATGTTTTAGCTCAAGCCAGGAATAATTCACAGAGACCATACTCCTGGCTAGATCTAGCGGAAACTACTGTATTTGGTGAACTAATCTTAAAAATCCCTGGCATTACAGAGCAGGTGAAGGAGAAACAGTATGAATCAGAAGTCAATCATCATAACTTATATGGAAGCATGTTTTGTTTAAATCATATATATATGCTTAAATTTGCATACTTGAACATCTTTAGACTGAAATGTGTCCTCAGGTTAAAATATTTCCTGCTGTCCTATAACACCAATCTCTTCTCTGTATGCTTTCCCCCCGCCCAGGGTATTTTTTTGTTTTTATTCCATATAAGTGAGATCATACAGTATTTGTTTTTCTCTGTCTTATTTAGTATAATAGTGTAATGTCCTCAAGATCCATCCATATTGTCACAAATGACAAGATTTCATTTTTATGGCTGAATAATATTCCGCATACATACCATGAAGTCTTTATCCATTCATCCACTGATGGACACTTAGGTTGTTTCCATTATCTTGGCTATTGTAAACAATGCTACAATGAATACAGGGCTGCATATATCTTTTAATGTTTTTGTTTTTCTTCAGATAAATAACCAGAAGTGGAATTGGTGGATCATACAGTCATTCTGTTTAATGTTTTGAGGCACTTCCATACTGTTTTCCATAGTGGCTGCACCAATTTACATTCTCACCAACAGTGCATAAGGGTTCCCTTTTCTCCACATCCTCACTAATACCTGTTATTTCATGAGTTTTTAATAAGTTATTCTAACAAATGTGAAGTGATATCTCATGGTTTTTATTTGCATTTTCCTGATGAGTAGTAATACTGAACATCTTTTCATGTACCTGTGCCATCTGTATGTCTTTTTAGAAAAATGTCTACTCAGATCCTCTGGCCATTTTTAAATCGAATTGTTGTTTTTGCTATAGAGTTGTATGATTTCTGCATGTATTTTGGATACTAATCCCTTATCAGATATATGATTTGCAAATATTTTCTCCCATTTAGCAGGCTGCCTTTTCATTTCATTGATCTTTTCCTTTGCTGTGCAGAAGTTTTCTAGTTTGATAGTCCACTTGTTTATTCAGGCTTTTTTTTGCCTTGGCTTTTGATGTCAAATGCAAAAAATTATCACAAATAATGTCAGGGAACTTATCACCTGTGTTTTCTTCTGGGAGTTTTATGGTTTCAGGTACTACATTCAAGTCTCTTATCTGTTTGTACACGGGGTAAGTTTAAGACAGAGGTCCAGTTTTCCTCACACCATTTGTTGACGAGACTTTTCTTACCTCAAGGTATATTCTTGGCTCCTTTGTCGTAAATTAATTGATTGCGTATGTGTGTATTTATTTCTGGGCTCTCTGTTCTCTTCCACTGATCTAGTGTCCATTTTTATTCCAATACCATAGTGTTTTGATTATTACAGCTTTGTAATAAAGTTTGAATTCAGGGAGCATGATGCCTCCAACTTTTTTCTTAAGATTGCTTTGGCCATTCAGAGTCTTCTGTAGTTCCATACAAACTTCAGGATTGTTTCTTTGACTTCTGTGAAAAATGCCGTTGATATTTTGATAGGGTTGGCAGTGAATCTGTAGATTGCTTTGGGTGGTACAATTATATCACAGTATTTTAAACAATATTCTTCCATAAGCATGTAACTTTCCATTTATTTGTGTCATATTTAATAGTTTTCTGTGTACAGGTCTTCAACCTCCTTGGTTAAACTTATTCCTAGGTATTTTATGCTTTTTGATGAATTGTACATGGAACTTTCAAAAACTGCTTTTTCTGATAGTTTGACATTACCATGCAGAAATGCCATAGAGTTCTGTGTGTTGATTTCATATCCTGCGACCTTACTGAATTCATTTGTAAGTTCTAGTCGTCAGGAGTCCTATGTCATGCAAATAGGGACAGTTATTTCTTCCTTTCTGATTTGGGTGTCTTTCATTTTTCTTGCTTAATTGCTCTAAGACTTCCAATACTATGTTAAGTAAAAGTGGTGAGAGTGGGTATCCTTTGCTTGCTTCCTGATCTTAGAGGAAAAGCTTTCCGTTCTTCACCACTGAGTACCATGTTAGCTGTGGGCCTGCCATATAGGGCCTTTATGATGTTGAGGTATGTTCCCTCTATGCCTACTTTAATGAAAAATTTTATGATAAATGGATATTGAATTTTGCCAAATGCTTGACAATATCAAAGAAATTGGACAACTGTGCAGTAAACCAAATAAACTTAAGAAGAGAGTCTACATACTCCAATTTCTTTGATGTTATCAAGTTTATTAGTAATATGTGATCATGTTAATCCAATGGGTCATGTACTGAGTTATGGCCTTGATAAGCCTCAATCTACCTGTGACTGACCTCAGACACTGAGGGATACAAATGTAAATTTAGAAATCCCTACTTACTTTATATACATAGGTATTTTTATATAACAGACATGCATTCAGTTAACACTGAACTGAACACAACCGCATGGTGTCTGTCGCTCATCTGAGGCTTCCCACAGTCCTGTATTGAACTAAACATCTTAATGGCCTGAGGCTTTCCTCATCGAAGCATGTGAGCGGCTCAGAGCCTCCAGCTGTCTGTCCAGGGGCTCAGTGTGTGTGACGCCCACATCACCCGCAGCAGTTGTGCTTCTACCTGTTCTGCACGATGAGGTTTCACAGGAGATTCAGTTTGGGGAAACCTAGATTCACATTTTATTTAAAAAGGAAATCATTAGATGCTTTCAACTCTTGGATTTAAATTTGTTTCATAGATTTATACTATGCAATGGCTATAGCTTTGAAAATTTAAAAAAATTAGCTTTTGTCTATAAAACACAAAATTTAAATAAGACCAAGAGTGAATTTTAAAATATGTTAGTTTAATATTAAATAAGCTATTAGTGAAGGTGAAAATTAACTGTACAGAAAGCCTAAATATGCTACGTACATTATATCATTAAATTATTTACAAGTTAAGGATTTATTTGGTGTAAATGCCCAAAATAGCCGTACACCAGGGACTTCATATTAATTGTTTATAACAAATTTATAAGATTCTATTATACAGAAACATGATCATTATTTGATTATCACTCAATCCATATACTGCAATTGTAAGAAAAAAGGTGGGAAGTTTCTTTATGGTCCTTTAAGGCTACCAAGAAAAGCCTCTTAAGACTAAATATTTAATTCAATGGAAAGGAATTATACATAAATGTTTCAACAAGTATTATTTATAACCATTACTGAGTTGGATTAAGAAGAAACTAGCAGTGGTGCAGAGTATAGAAGCTAGGTAGTCACACCACGTACTGGATTTTCACAGTGAGGCTTATTTGTAACTTTGGTTTTTTTGCATTTGTATCTGGTTGCCTGAGTTTTTTGCTTATTATATACAAAGGGCAGGTCCATCCACCTATGAGTAATTTTAAAATGTTCTTTGAGTTTTTTGAGGCCATTGCCTATCCTCATTAAAGCAGATTAAGAACTATATTAAGAAAAGTATACCCAAATATATATTAATTCGTCATACTTCTGACACAAACAAAAATATACATTTGGCTATACACAGAAATCACCTATTTGCAAACAAACATACCTGCCTTCAAATGGCCAAATGATTGAGTTGCCCAATGGAGAAAACTTAAAACAACTCCCTCATTGGAAAAAAAAATACTATGAGCAATTATTTGCTTCTCACTTGTAAAGAAAACAAAATAATCAAAATAATATGCCACAGATAGTATCTGTGTGATATTACGAGTTACGTAATTTTATTTAGGAAAAATGTGGAAGAAAAAAGGAGCTGCTGTTCCATTTGAAGTCAGAGCTGCCGAATGGTGAATGGCCTCAAAAAATAAATCCCTACGTCATACCACAATGTGTAGACACCAAAGAACTTCCATGAATTGTGAAAATTGTGTAATATATATATTAATCTTGAGCTTTTAAGTTTTTCATAAAACTTACATAATTAAACTGATATAATTTCTCTGAGACACAAGAAACATTACGGTACTTGAATCATCCTGCAATTCAGAGCATCTGTCCTCCTGAGATTTACTGTGATAATAAGGTTTGGGTTATTAGATCTTTTAAATGATGTTTTATCTTTCATGATTTTAATTGCAGAGTCTCAAGATGTTTTTCCTTGTGTTTGAAATGAATGTAATTACTCATCACACTAATATTTCTAGTTTGAACTGAAAACCATCTATAAAGAGCTTTAGAGTGACATGAAGATCTGCATTCAGGGCTACAAAATACAACATTTTAACTCATTTTGATATTCCAAGTCCCCATCTCTTTCCGAAAACCATGAACTATACATCTGTCCTACATTCTCTCAAGTTGTGTACTGCGCAGTTCAACATTTTACCCAACCATTCTACTCTACACTCGCCATGAAGCAGGTAACGCGCATGCTTATTTTCCGTCATCCTCCATCTTTAGGAGGTGGAGGAAGTTTGGAAGGCAGAGTGAAACCAAACCAGAACCAATGCACATTCAGCTCCAAAAACAATTAACAGCATCTAATAAATAGCAGATAATAAGCATTTTTCCCCCTTAGGAAGCATGAGACCAAGAAGGAATTATGAATACTCCTTTACCTATTTTTTTTAAACCTCAAAACCAGGAAGCTGTCATATCTATGTATGTTTTAGTATTTGCATATGTTACACTTCCTCTGTGTCAGGAAATTGCAAGCTTTGTCTCTATCCTATACCCTAATACACTATGAATAGCTTCCGCTCCCCAGCATACAACTCACTGTTAATCCTGTAAGTCATACACGCTAATACGACTATGATAATGAAAAAGAAAAACAATGACCAGCCACACAGAATACAGCCTAGCCAGAAGTGAGGGCTCAGACCACTAAGTAATCCCCTGGGAGGTACTTCCGCACAGGTGCAATGATAAAAGACAGAATTGCTAAACTGTAGACTGGGTCTTTTTCTAAGAAGTGAGCATGTGGACAGAAATTCTTTACTGAAGTGTTTCTCTCATTAATTATCTTCCTTTTGCATACAGTTTTTTCATTATAGAATTGGTCTGCTCTTACAGATTTCATTACTATTTCTGTTTTAGGCGATTACATTTTATGTGCAATCCAAGGCTTTCAACAAATCAGACGGCAGTGTTTTGGCAAAAATTATTTTAAAATATACTCCCATTTTCCAAAGGGAAATGGGATATTGGTTGTCTCAAGTAGACAACTGTTTAAGAATTTGAATAAATGGTTCAGCAGTTTGGATAGCCTCTTAGCTTGGTAAGGGTATCTCAAGAACAAATGCAATTTTTCATTTAAAAACAGTTTTCATAAGCAAAGAATCAAGTTCAGTGGCTGGTTGTGATGGTCTATCAGGCATAAAATGGTAAAGAAGATTCAAATTGTGTATCTGACCTCATGGCGTAACTCAAATAGTTCTCATAAGCTATCAGCAGATAAGAAAAAAAAACACCACAAATTTGTATAATTCCATTTTGTATTCAGAGTATGTTTCAAACAGTATGTTTGAAAACATGTCTATTCTCTGCAGCCTGTTATTGACATCTGAAAGGCTGCCACTGGGGAGTAGACATACCTGCCAAGATTTCCTTCTCAAGTATGTGTTTGTGAATGTTAGAATTATCTTCTGTTATGCCAAGCTCATTCGCTTTCAAAGATTCAAAGAAAAAGAAAAATATCTGCATGATGTAGCAGAAGAGGCAAGAAAACTGATCACCGAAGCACTGACATTCATGCACCTATAAATGTTCTTGGATATTTATTTATAGTCCTAATGGCTCACTGCATCCACCTGGTTAAATATCCAACATATGAGATGTGTGCCCAGATTAGAGAACCCAGCCTTATAAAAAGAACATAGAACCTGAACTCAGATACGCACAGTCGATCATTTCTCGTTGTGTGAGCTTCTGCAAGTTGAGTTTACTGAATCTTAGTTTCCTTGCTTGTAAAATGAGGATAATACAAATTCCTTTTCATAGTTAAAACATACCCCAAAGAAGGAAGAGATGCAGTAAATAGTAATGTCTATCATGATCAGCTTACAACAGTAACTCAGGGGGTCTTTTTGACCAAAATAATGAAGGCATTCTCATGTCATCTGAGTCTAATTCAGAGACAGGATTACATCTTAAGTAGACTGACTTAGTGAGACTTCGGTTTTTACTAGATTGAAACAGTGACAAAATTTGGTATGATAATGTTCAAACACTAAAGGAGTTTTAACTTACTGGCAACACTTTGAAAGGACTATATTTTTACCAAGAAACTGGGTAGTTTTACTCAAGGAAGCTACCTGAAAACTAGCCGCAGCAAAACCCGAAACACTCTGAATGAAATAACTGACAGTATATCCAATTACATTAAATAGAATATAACTAATTAGTGTTAACTCAGTTATCACACAGTGAGAAAATATTATGAAACTTTCCTTAAAAAAAAAAAAAAGAAAAAAAACCTTCCTTACTCTAAAAATCCAAACTTCAAATTTATATCTACCTACTCGAAAGCCACAGGGGTGCTGTCTGAATTTCTAATTAGTACAACTATAAATACCAGATGTATCATTGTCTGAATATATTTTAGTCATACAATGTTAACATTTCCATTTTATTAGCTATTTTTTTTTAATTTAGCACAATCATAATCCAGGGGAAGAAAAATCATTTGAGTACAAACTGAAATAGGCTGATGTTCACCTGGATTCCCCTAATAGTACTCTCACCAGGTTTCCTGACGCCAGACTTCACCCTCAACTGAATGCTCATTGTCACCATGGTGATCATTTTTTTTTAACATTTTTTATTGATTTATAATCATTTTACAATGTTGTGTCAAATTCCAGTGTTCAGCACAATTTTTCAGTCATTCATGGACATATACACACTCATTGTCACATTTT